TAGCGGATTTGTTGCCAATCTGGAGAAACTTAGCTCCGCAACAACAAAGATAACGCCTTCATTTATTATTTAAATCATGCTTAATCCTTTCTGGAATTTTTTCGAGGAAATAAGCGTTTAAGATTTACTTCGTAAATTTTAATACAGATATTTTGTGTTTTTATGTATTTTTGCCTTGTCGCAAAGTGAAAACTGAATTAATTGAATGAGAAATACTCAATCGTCTGTGAAAAACTGTTTTTTTTTTTTTTTTTTTTTTTTTTTTGTTTGTGTTGTTAATTTCTTTTATAAATCGTTCTAGCTTTGTTATAGCATTTGAATAGAACATGTGGCAACGATTCTTTAAATGATATGAATTTTGTGCATTCTGAGTTATAATATGAACGAAATATAATACTGTTAAGTAAACCTAGCGCCAGAGTGTCTCTATGGTAAACAAAGTGAATTTTAAAGAATGCATTTATTCTATTGGGGTTTATGCGCTGTCGGCGAAGTAGGTTTAATTCAATCTAATAAGTTTAAATGAAATGCAAGAAAAAATGCGTATAATTTAATATTCCGTACAAGGAAGTCATGTGGTGTACACATCAGATTTTTTAAGTAAGTGTGTAAGGTATTTCTCCCGCATTCCTAGCGTGCCTTCGTGGTGTGGTGATCTGCACGCTGGGCCGGTATTCTAGAGGTCCGTAGTTCGATTCCCGGAGAAGGCGTTTGCTATTTTTTCATCTTGCCTGCTTCCAAAAAATACCTAATGTCCTCTACAAGAGTAAATGATTTTATATCTACATATTCACTTTCTGGAGGATTTCTTAAAATAACATCTGTTTAGATTTAAGGCTCTAAAACTGGTGTGAGTATTCGAAGATTAGATCAATTTTTTGAAACTTATTTGTCCAGATTTTAATGTGAAATTTAAATTGCAGTTTTTTCCTTGTCTCTAATCAGCATTATATTTGTTCTCAAATTTTGTTATCTTTTATTCATTTTGTTATTGTTGGATAATAGTATTACATACGGTTTTTTGGTCAGTATCATATTTGTTCTCCAAATTTAGTTATTATTGGTTTTGATAAATGTAACTAGTTAATAAGCATTTTTATTCACTTCCATATTTCTTTAGCGGCCGAGCGGTAAAGTCGCTGTAGTAGGTCCGAGGTTCGAATTCCGCGAACGGGCTGACTGAATGGGCGTTTTCGTGGTTTTCCCCATGTGAAACGTGCATACGAGTCAGATTCCCTTAGAAAGTCCTCCACGAAAGCATCCCTCCCCTTAGGCAGATAGCCCTAGTGTGCTTTGCCATAATTAAATAAACCAAACCATTCCATATTTCTTTACTTATAAGTATGTTTAGTATAAAAAATAATAACTTGTTATCTGGTGTCATCAAACCTGAAGAGATATTGAATGTTACATAATACTTCATTTTATTTGATTTAATCTATTTATTTTTAGTCCAAAGAGTCTCTGAGGGACTATTGTTTTCGTTTTGCGATTTTGCTTCGAATCACTCTGAATGTCTGTTTCACTTTACATTAGAAATTGCTGCCACCAAATATTATCGCTCTGTATTATATTTGAAGAAATTAAATAATGAAGAATCTGCATAAATGTATGTATGTTTCACGCATTGTGATAAAACAACGGTACCTAGAGCCATCCACATTTGAATGACGTAATCCTACTGCGAATATGGGCATCTGTCTCTAATTTGAAAGCCCAAATTTGGAATTTGTTTTATGATCGATTACAAATTTTGTAAACCTTTAACAAATTTTTGATTAACAAACTCAAGGATTTCATGTTTTGCGAGCAATGGCAACGTTGTACAGAAAAAAAAAAAAAAAAAAAAATATCTCCAGTGTGCGGGACTCTGTATCGAAAAATCTAAAGATATGCTCAATTTAAATTTATTTTGTGGTATTGCTCTTGAACTGAATTTCATGGTTTAAGTGCGGAGAACATGATATTTAATAAATAATGGAACACACAAAATGTTAAATAAACGCCCCTTTGGAAGTAATTTAAAATATGAAACCTTTCATATTTTATTCATTTATTTTTTTAATTTGTATTTTTAAAGAATTTTTTTTCTGTTCTCTGATGTATTGTGTTTTCGTTTTGCTTTTTATTTTTGAAACATTCCTTTAAATTATTAAACTAAGGTTGTTCTGAAAAGTATTAAATTATGTCTGTTCCGAAAAGCTTACCAAAAATTATTTATTTTAAATATATATATTTAAGTGCAGTCATATTAAAAGAACAGAAGATGTTATAAAAATAAAGAAGGGAAGAAGCGATCCCAACCGTTTGAGTGAAAAGGTTGAAATGCTTACGTATAAATGATAATAAATAAATAAATAAATAAGTGTATAAAAGAGAAAAATTTCATAATAGATTTCAGCCAGTTTATGGAGCACATTATGTGACTGTTAAAAATCCTTCTTCTCTTAATTCTTATTTCAAATGAGCTCTTTATTCTGCACCTTAAATATGCGTAAACTTTCAAATTAGAATTAAGATAATGGCAAGAGCATCCAATTTCCTGCTCTGCATCAAATAAAAAAGAAAGAAAATGGTACAATTGAAGAAGAGCTCCAGGCTATAAAAGGAATAAAAAAGGGAGTAAGTGCAAAACTTGCATCGTATTTGGGCATTTAAATCGAAGATCGTTGATAAAGTCTTCTCTGAACGTTGACGCGGTTGAGCTGCAACTAGAGGAAGTAATCCGGACAGAAAAAAAACTGTATCGAATAAAGTAAAGTAAATAACAAAGTAACTTATTAAGATGTATAAGTGTATATATTATCATAATCTTTAATATTTATCACAATATTTTTTTTTTCTTTTCTGTTGGATATTTCTTTACGCTGTGCACTGCATATCGCAAAGGAGTAATTTTTACTTTTCGGTAAAGTAATGTATTACTATCGCATGGTTAAAAAAAAACTGAAAGCTTTCAGATTTTATATTACGATCGAAGGGGCGTTTTCTTAACGTTTCGTGTGTTACCTTTATTTATTAAATATCATGTTCTTCCCACTTAAACGATAAAATTTAATTCAACAGCAATATCGCAAAATAATTTTAAAATGAGCATATCTTTTTAGAATTTCCGATACACAGTTCCGCAACGCTGGAGATAAAAAGTTTTTTTATTTTTTTTAATTTATTTTTTTATTTATTTTTATTTTTTTACCGTAGAGTGTTGCCATTGCTCGCTTTGAAATCGTTGAGTTTGTTAATCAAATATTCGTAAACGTTTTACAAAATAAGAAATAGATAATGAAACAAATTCCAGATTTGGGCTTCCAAATGCCCATATTCGAGTGGAGAAAATTACGCTATTCAAAATTTGATGTCTCTAGGCACCGTTGTTTTTTTCACAGTGCGAGAAGCATACATACATTCATGCAGATTCTTCATTATTTGAATTTCTTTAAATATAATACAGGGCTCTAATATTTGTAAACTGTACTTTTTGCATATATGTTTTTCCATATTTATTCACTTGAAGTCATCATTAACTATAAGATATAAAATAATTGGTTGTTGAAAGGAAACTAAATGACATAAGCTTCTATGATTTAGTCGTCTGTATGTTTTCGAGTACTTAATATTAGAAGAATGGTCAAACTTTCACATCAATCAATAGGCTCAATAGATTCAATTCAGTTTCAAATAGAATCAAGCTTAAATAAAAGGTGACTTGATATGAAATTTGCGAAATTTAAGACTGCTTGGTTAGTTGAGTTGCTTTTACAGATATAAAAGCAATATATATAAAATGGTGTATTTCCTATGTGTAAATGGTAATAATGAATGAATAAATATATAGAAGAGTTAACATTTCATTGTAGAGTTTAGGCAGTTTATGGAGCTGAGAATGTCTAAAAAATTCCTTCTGCTTTTAATATCAAGCTCTAATGTATTTCCTATTCTGTGTCTTAAATATTCGTAAACTTTAATTTAGAATTTTAGATAATGGATAGAATATCAAATTCCCTAATGCGAAGACAATCATTGCAAATAATTTTATTGTTGCAAATGAATTCCAAAGATTATTTTGTAATAATCTAAACAGAAAGGACCAGAATTTTCTGACCGTCAAATTTATAAAAAAAAATTCTTTTGGGGAGCAAAATATTATTTCTCCAAACGATTCCGATTTACCATGAAGATGATCGCTTTAGAGAATACGATTATCGGTAATATTTAACAACAACATTTATTTGTATTGTAAGAAATACTGTCCACTTTTAGAGGTGGTCTATATACGAGATTTTACTTCTTTATTACCCTAATACAAATACGCTGTGCTGATACAATTATTTCCAGCAATGTTAGTTTAACTACTAGTGTTACATACTTGAAAAATATAAATGCTCTGATTACAAAAAAGAAACCTCGAGTACAAAATAGGATAAATCTCGCTACATCTCGTTCAGTTTTTAATTTTATACTTGGATGATCATTTAATTGTTTGAATATTTTGTATCTTCCTAACTGCAATTCTTTGTTCAATTATTTGTTATCAAATAATTATCCTACATTAAAATACTTTCGGAATAAATTTAAAAGTTAAACTTATAAAGTATTTCTTCCGCATTCCTAGCGTGCCTTCGTGGTGTGGTGGTCTGCACGCTGGGGCGGTATTCCAGAAGTCCGTGGTTCGATTCCCGGCGAAGGCGATGGCTCATTTTTCATCTTGCTTGCTTCCAGAAAAATCCTAATGTTTCTACAAATTTTACTTCACATGTTTCATTTCTACAGTATTTTCAGAAAGCAATCCATTTAGAATTCTTCAAAAGATTTAAATTTATTGTGGAAGTACGAATTACAACTAACATAGAAATCCAGAGTTTTCTTCCCACAAACTATTCTTTTTGTCTACCTCGTGAATATATGTGTGAGTAGCAGGAATTCAACAACTCAACACAACTAACGGCATTGCAGTGAGACGTGTTTTCGACTAAGACGTATTAATAGATGGCGAAGCTGTTAACTTCTCAATTATAACTCTTTTTTCATTTGTAAATACACATCACTGTATCTCCATCAATAACTAAATAAATACTTAGTCACCTAAATGTGTGTCGTCAGCGTCCCTAGACGCCGAGTTTACATGGGAGCTTCGACCGGTTCTTCTTCAGTCAAGGTAAGCTGTTCTTTAAGAATCAAATAACAAATATTTTGAATTCAATTTTGATGAAGTGAAATTAAAGACTCTTTGAATTCAATTTTGATGAAGTGAAATTAAAGACTCTTTGAATTCAATTTTGATGAACTGAAACTATATTTTTACCATTAGAACGAATTGTGTGAAAACCCCGAACTTTTTCTTTCGAAATCGAAACTCAATTGTTCATTTTATTGTATAAACTTGTGTTCTCCGAAATAGTTAAGTTGTGACAATGTCAACTTTAAATGATATACCACATATCGCTAAATCCTTAAAATCAGCTTCCACGAAAGCAATTAAGCTACTACATAAATTTGTGTTTGGTCAAGAAGGCGACCGTGCAAATCGCAAACGACTTCGTGAATTCACAGGACTAGATAACTCTTTTCACACTGCCGAAGTTAAGGAACGTTTATTAAATATTTTCACTCTGGCTGATCTAATTTCGATTCTTAATGTTCTAAATTTAGACTGTGCCATTTCTGCTGATGAATGTTATACTACAATTGTGAATGCTTTAACTAATTTCGATTTGCTATTGGAAACTGCTATTTCCGATTCTGATTCTGACAACGAATTAGAAAACCCAGAACAACAAAATTAATTGCCGAAAATCAAACAGATTTTGAAACCACTACGCAGTCAATTACTTGTTCGAACTTGGCAGCTAGCCAAAACGCGCAGACTTCCAGCTCCGGTATTTGTTTACATAAACATCGAACACATCATACGCCTGTCATGTCATCGCTGGTAAATGAACAACAATTCAGCATAACGTTTCGTGATTTATACGAATGTATTAAACCTTTTGATGGTAAATGACATAGAAGAATTATTTGAACTGAATAGAATTACAAATGATGTTCACAAGATTATATTCACCAAAAAATGCTTATCAGGCTCTGCTAAAACTTTTGTAAATTCTTTACATGGTGTCAAAACTTTTACTACGTTAAAAGAATATTTGTTAGAAGAATTTTCCTCTAAACTTAACAGTGCAGATTTGCATAAACTGATGTTTAAAAGACGTTTAAAGCCAAACGAATCCTTATTCGATTATTTTATTGCTATGAGAGAAATTGGTTCTAGAGGTCAAATTGATATGTCTTCTATTTTTGATTATGTGATAAATGGTATTCCAGAAAACCCTAACAAAATTTTATTATATGGTTATGAGAAGCTTGTGTCTGCTTCCAAACATGCTAAATTTCCTAGTGATCTGAAATTTATACAAAACAATTCTCATCACTTAGAGAGCAAAATCTCTCAGAAGCCTCCCCAACCTATAGTTTGCTATAATTGTGGGTCTAAAGGCCATAAAAGTTCTAATTGTTCTCATAAACAACCTAAATGTTTTTCCTGCGATTCATTTGGCCATAAATCGTCTACTTGTACTCAGAAACCAAGTCGTGCATCACCTCCATCGTCACAAAAATCAGAGACAATTCTCAATCAAGTTGTCGTACAGTCACACCCTCTACATTCTATGATGATTCACATCAATATTTCTGACGTTATCATTCCAGCATTGATTGACACTGGCAGTCAAGCTACTATAATTAACACATCAACATATCAAAAAATTGGTTCTCCAGCGCTTCAAAAATCTTCTATAACATTATCAGGACTTGGTGATCGCATTGTACACCCAGTAGGATATTTCACAGGTTGTTTCAAAATTCAAAATACAAATTTTAAAACTGACATTCATGTTATTGAAGATAATCTCCTATCTGTTGACGCAATTATTGGAAGTGATTGTATCCAGCAAGCTGAATTTTCTATTGGAAAGCATGGTATTAAACTAATAGAAGCAGAAACTCCTGACCATAATTTTCTAATTAATATTGTAAATATTTTCGATGAACCTGATTCTCCTGATTTAACGCATCTTACCAATCCAGATCATCGCACAGAAATCAAACACCTAGTTTCGGCTTACAAACCTAATAAAACCAAAACAACTGATTTGCAAATGTCTTTAATCTTAACGGATGAAATCCCTGTTAGTCAACGTCCTCGCCGCTTATCTATAGCCGAACAACGTATTGTAGAAGCTCAAATCCAGCAGTGGCTGAACGAAGGAATTATAAAACCTAGTTGCTCCGATTTTGCTGCTGCCCTATTGTCCTCTGCAAAAAGCGAAATGGATCTTACCGACTATGTATAGATTACAGACGTCTTAACAAGAAAATAGTGAAAGACAAATTTCCTCTACCCCTTATAGAGCAAATTCTTGATAATTTACAGAATTCTAAGGTCTTTACATCTCTTGACTTGAAAAACGGCTTTTTTCATGTTCCCATGAATCCCCAAAGCAGCAAATACACTGCATTTGTTACTCATGAAGGCCAGTATGAATTCCTTAAAGTTCCCTTTGGACTGTGCAACTCTCCTAGCGTTTTTCAAAGATTTATCAATACCATATTCAGACATCTCATTAGTGATCAGACTGTTATAATTTATATGGATGATATATAATTATTCCATCTAAGGACGAAACGACGGAATTAAAAAAATTACGACGAGTCCTTCAACTTGCCTCACTATGGTCCAGAAATAAACTTTCAGAAATGCAACTTTTTAACGAAAAAATTGAATTCCTAGGTTATGTTATTCAAGATAGCACCATTCGACCTTCACCATCCAAAACACGCGCTGTACAGTCATTTCCTGAACCCAAAACAGCTAAACAGGTTGCAAAGTTTTCTTGGCTTAACTGGTTACTTTCGAAAATTCATTCAACATTATGCCAAAATTGCAAAACCCCTCAGCGACTTACTACGTGAGTCCACTCCTTTTGAGTTTGGTCCTGCACAACAGCACGCTTTCTTAAAACTCAAAGAAGCACTTTCCAGTGATCCTGTTTTGCACCTTTACCAACAAGGTTTACCGCTTCAACTTCATTGTGACGCAAGTAAAGTAAACACGGTTACGGATCTGTTCTCTTGCAACAAAGCACTGATGGTTCCTTCTACCCAATTTACTATATGAGCAAGAAAACTACCCCCCAAGAATAGAGATACTCCAGTTATGAACTAGAAATCCTAGTCATCATTGAAGCCGTTAAAAAATTTAGACATTATTTAGCCGGAACAAAATTTGATATTGTTACAGATTGCGCTGCTTTTGAAAAAAACTATGTCTAAAAAAGACATAACACCCAGAATTGCTCGATGGGCATTTTAGCTTGAAGACTTTGATTACACGATAAAACACCGCTTTGGACAGCTTATGAAACATGTAGATGCTCTAAGTCGTTTCCCTGTCATGTTAATTGCCATCGACAGTGTCACTCAAAAGATTATTGACGCACAATCCATCTGATGACTTCATTACGGGGATCAAACATACTTTAGAAAAAAACCCCTTTAGATGACTACTCCTTAAAGAACGGTGTTCTGTATAAAATAGTTGAAGACCAAGAACTATTAGTTGTACCTCAGGCAATGCAAACCGAAATAGTGCAAAATGTTCACTCTAAAGGTCATTTTTCTGCTCTCAAAACGGAATCCATTATTAAACGTGAATATTACATCCCTAATTTATCTGCGATTGTTAAAAAAATCATTTTGAACTGCGTACCCTGCATTCTTTCTTCCAGAAAGGCTGGTAAAGCGGAAAGTTTTCTTCATCCGATTCCAAAAGGCGATACACCACTTGATACTTATCATATAGACTTTTTGGGTCCACTGCCGTCAACAAACAAGAATTACAAATATCTTTTTACAGTTGTTGATGCATTATCAAAGTTTCTTTGGCTTTATCCTGTTAAATTAACAACCACTCAAGCTGCTGTCGACAAACTGAAATTACAGCAAACAACTTTTGGTAATCCCCGACGCATTGTCTCAGACAGGGGTACAGCTTTTACTTTAACTGACTTTCAAACCTATTGTCTTGTCGAGAATATTGAACACATCACAATAACTACGGGCGTTCCACGTGCAAATGGACAGATTGAACGCATGCATGGTATTTTAATTCCCGTCTTAACTAAGCTATCTTTAGATGATTCCGAAAGAGTGGTTTAAACATGTTGCTTCTGTGCAGAGAATCATAAATAGCACTATCTCAAGCCACTAAGTTCACGCCTTTTGAATTACTTTTTGGAATAAAAATGAAAAACAAAGACGATATCAAAACTAAGCAAATACTTGAAGAGGAACACTTCCAATCCACTTTACAAGAAAAAGAAAGATTACGCGACGAAGCGAAAAACAATATTCTCAGACTTCAAGAATAAAATAGACGTCAATATAACAAACGCCGCAAACAACCAAACTTATACAACGTTGGTGATCAAGTCGCACTTCAACGTACTCAATTGGGAACTGGAATCAAACTTCGTCCCCGATTTTTTGGACCTTACAAAGTCACAGCTGTTAAGCCATATGACCGCTATGAGGTAGAGAAAGTCGGAATACATGAAGGTCCGAATACAACTTCCACAGCTGCTGATTTGATGAAACCATGGCCTTTTCAACAATAAACTCTTAATTTAGAATTGATATACTCTTCAATTGGACATTCTATTTATTACCTTTCATGTTTCATTTACTACCTTTCATGTTTTCCTCTTCATTATTTTTTTAATCAGTTAAAAAGTTTTTTTCCCTCTCTACAAAGAATTTTTATCTATACAAGATTTATTAAGATGTTCAATTTTTTTTGCCTCGCCAAGGTGTCCCAGATTTGCTCTTAAGACGCTTGAGCATTCAAGATGGTCTGGAGAAATAACACTTCTTCTTCCATCAAGACGTTCCAGGATGATCTATTGACACTCCAAGTAAATAACGCTTCTTTTTTTTTTTTTTTTTTTTTTTTTTTTTTTTTTTCCCTCAGAACGTTATAAGATGGTATATCAAACAACTTTTTTCCCTTTATTTCTTTTTTTTTTTCTTTCTTTTTTTTTTTTTTTTTTTTTTAATTACTCTTTTCAGATTTTGTTGTAACTCCATCATCGCCAGGAAGCCCTGTCGTGTCAGGATACCCGAGTGTGAGTAGCAGGAGTTCAACAACTCAACACAACTAACGGCATTGCAGTGAGACGAAGGGTGGATGATGGAAGCGAAAGAGAGCAGTCATGTTTACGACTAAGACGTATTAATAGATGGCGAAGCTGTTAACTTCTCAATTATAACTCTTTTTTCATTTGTAAATACACATCACTGTATCTCCATCAATAACTAAATACTTAGTCACCTAAATGTGTGTCGTCAGCGTAGAAATTCCCTAGACGCCGAGTTTACATATATATATATAATGTTGTATGATCTTAAATCCATTTAGTGCGAATACAAGTTATTATTACTTGCGCAATTGCTGCAAAGTTAGTTAATAATAATTTATTTCCCAAACAGCATTGACCAATTGATTATATTATCTCCTAAGTTTAATTAAAGTAGAATTATTTTAATAGTGTGCATCCATACTGGTAAGTTATATTTTGAAAGTAATTATTTATTTATTTGAAGTAATTTGAAAGCAAAATGTTAATAATGTTTTAACGGGGACTGGAGTTAAATCATCACGAAGAATAATATTTCAATTGTAAAAGGAAAAATTAAAATATGTAATCATTGTCATTGATCGGAAATTAGTTGACTTTTCAAGGGGAACAAACCAACTCCCGTTCAATGAACAATAATTGATAAAAATACGTAAATACGAAAGTGTTTCGTCTTTACTCGAGTTATAAATTAAAGCCAAACCGGCAATTCTAGTCAGGCCAAATATTTCCGCGAATAGTAGGAATTATGAACCAATGCTTATACTCAAAGAACTTATTCTCATGAATCATTTTAGTCAATTCAGTTTGGAGTAAAAATCAATTACTGTAGAGAAATCCTGTAAAACTCGAGTAACCGTCCCCGACACTTTCATCTTTATGTATTTGAGTACTATATTATTTGTAGAAATTAAACATTGGAAATTGTCATTATGAAATCGAATTCAAAGTAAAGTTGAAATAAACATAGAAGATTACAAAAAAGATAAATAATGCAAACCCTTTGTAAAAACAAATCAAAGAAAACACAAAAACAATATAAAAAACAATATAGAAAATAATATAAATAAGATCAGTGAATGTACATGAAGATATAAAGGCCAGAAAGGTATTAAGTAACTTACATTCTTTCTAGTGGGGGAGTTGGCAAAGTGTTCTCTTCGTGTCTGACTCAGAAGTGTAGGGTGTCCGAAAATTCTTAGCGGCAGTAGGGGCCTTGAATAATATCAGTCGGTAAGACTTGGGTGAAGTAATTTATGGTAGTGGGTGGGACTTGGAATTCTTGAGGGATGTATTTTGTGGAGTTCTTATCTGAGAGAGACCGTCTGTTAAGGTTTTTTTTCCGAAAATACTAGTGAATGGAAATTAATTAATTTCTGGCTAATTGTCGTGTCGCAATGATTAAGAATTTAAGAAAGGAAAAAGGCACTCTCGCTGTCCAAGAGCCAATAGACAGTCTATTTATTGGTCAGTAATTGTTTCAAAAGAATAAATTGAATAAATACATTGAATAAATACAAATTTAATTAATTCTTTGCACCATTGCTGCAAGGAATGAAATTTAAATTTTAACGAACATGTATATACGTAAAAAAGCAAATTTAAAGTTAAAATGATGTGCAAACATATAAAACATTTAATTTTCGAACTAATCTACAATATCATTTAAATTTAGATAGCATAAGTAAATCAAGTGCAAAACCAAACCATGAAAATAAATTCACAAATTTAGCAAATTAAAATTAATGTAAAAAAAAATTTTAAATGCGTAAGTGAATGACTGTTGAGCAGGCAGGAGACAGACTTATCAAGGGGAAGTTGCCTCCAAACCTGACTCTTCAATCATTCAATTCGTGTTTCGTCATTCATGCAAGCAAGGGTAAAAGTCAAAACCAAAAGTAAATACATAGTGAAGAATGTCCAAAAAGAAATACCAACTGAGTGGTACCTTGAGTAATTAGCAATTAAAAATTAAAGATTAAAGGAAAATACCAATAATGAAGTATTTTGAGAAACAAGCAATTAAATTAATTTTTTTTTTTAATTTTCCAGAAAAATTAATTTAGAAACCAATGCATTTTAGAAACCTTTGTCTACAGAAACCTCCCCAACACGAATATGCATATTAATCAAAAAGGAACTAGACAAAATTAATATAAACCAATAAGAAACTAAAAAGAACTAATTCACAATTTATAAAAAATATATATATACTTAAAAATATAATTTCATATCTAGAAAATACTTAAATACTACATAAAAATATTTAAAAAAATACTTAAAGCAAGTAAATAGTAAGTTTTAATTCTAACTTACCTACCATATGAGCGTTGGGGTCTGCAAAAGTATTTCCTGAAAGTGATGTAAGTGTGTTCTCTGCAAATTATATAGATGGCGCTTAATGTAAGTAAAGTTGAGTGCCAAGCTGCTATCTTTATATATTAAAAATATTAAAATAATATAAATCTAGAAAAAATCAAAGAATATCCTAAAAGTATGTAATTCAAGTTTTAATTTTAACTGAACTATTTATGGTAGGGAGTTTAGTAGCTGAGTCAATGAAGTGGTTATTGTGAATTAATAAATGTAAACTTGTTTGTAATGTGTAAATGTGGGTATTGTTGCAAAATTGTGTAAATAATGCGAATAATAATGCGAAAATTTTTTTTTGTGAAAATTGGAAATTAAAAAGTAATAATTAAAAGTAATTAAGTAAAACTGAAATGTTTTAAAATTTTAAAAAATGTTTTAAAGCAAAATTAAAAATTTAAATTTAAATTTAAAAAGTCTTAAAATGTCTTGAAAAATTCCCCAAATTTTTTCAAGTAAAATTTAAATTTTGAAATGAATTCCTTAAAAAATCTTTTATTTATTAAATTTAAAGAAAGAAAAAGTAAGTTAAAAAAGAAAATTCCCAGAAATTTTTTAGAAATTTCTGAAAAATTCCTTAAAAAATGTTTATTAAATGCTAAATTTAAAGAAAAAAAAAATATTGAAAGTTTTAATAAACTTGATTCCAACTGGTATATCAAAACTTTACTAAATACTGGCTAAAGTATGGAAAATTAGAAGATTAAAATCTTCACTCAATTCGGGCTATAATTGAGACTTTTGAAAAGAGTTGGCCCTTTATTAGTAAAAGGAAAGAATCCAGTATTGATTAAATATACATATTTACAAATTATTTACAATAAAAATTTACAAGATAATTCCTTTACTCTTCTATATCCTCCATTACCCTCCAGCTAAGGTTTAAGGTAATGTTATCATACCATAAAGAGCCAAAAAATTATAAAGTAAAGTTAATGCCTGCCTTTTTAATATATAAATTAATAAATTTTGGTGGTACTTGGTTATCAACTTGAACATTAATTAGCTTTATTATTTCTTCCTTTAAATCTTCTATTTCAGTACATATATTTTTTATTCTGATTATTTGGCTATGAAACGTGTTTTCTATTACTTTTCTAGAGTTCCAATTAATTAGCTTAATAGTATGAAAATGGAAATTCCTTCTTTTATCATATAATTTAATTTTGCTGTGTTTAATAATTAGCAGGTCTAGGTATTCAATAGTATCTTGATTCGTATTCGTTTTATTAAGTGTTAAACTATTTGGGTAAATTTTGAATTGCTCAAAAGTAGAATTATTATTGAAAGTTATAATATCATCTATGTATCTAAAAGTATGAGCAAATAGCTTTAATTCATTTTTATTTAAACTTAGTTGGAATTTATATTCAAAAGTAAAAAGAAATAGGTTACAAATTTGTGTAGAACTGTTTGCTCCCATAGGAATTCCTCTAACTTGCTGAAAGATCTTATTATTGAATTTAATGTAGTTATTAAATAATGCACAATTCAGATAAGTATTCCATCTTTCAATACAAAGGATGTCAAGTATGTCAGGAAAAAGTTGTGGGAGTTGCATTAAACTAGTAAAAATTTCTTCTAATGGTAGAGAAGTATAAAGGTTTTCAAAGTCATAGCAGTTAATGTTCTTGATTTTTAAACTTTTAAATCTGCTGAGAACTGGAGCATTATTATAAATAATCCAACTATAATTGTGTTGTTTGTTAACGAGTTGTTGGATTAAATTACAGATTTTTTTAAGTTTAATTGCAAATATGTAATCTATATTCTTTTCATAATTATTTGTATCATTAGCAATAAATCTACATTTGAGTGGTGATTTATGAAATTTTGGGAGAGCATATAGATTAGCTAATCTATTGTAGTTAGATGGTTGTGAAATTTGCAGTTTCTTATGAAATGCTTTTAGCTTTTTTGTAATAACCTTTTCTTGTATATTGGTGAGTTTGTAAGTAATGGCTGCACTTGATTTACTTATGCTATCTGAATTTAAATGATATTGTAGATTAGTTCGAAAATTAAATCTTTTATATGTTTGCACATTATTTTAACTTTAAATTTGCTTTTTTACATATATACATGTTTGTTAAAATTTATATATATATATATAAAATATACATCTACAAAGCATAATTGTCTGATAAATGAATATACATCTTTGCGAACAAAAACATTACCATTATTGTATAGAGGTCCATTTACATATTCATGTCAACTATACTTGCAAACAAATAATTTCATAATATGAAATATTTTCAGACTTATATACTGAAGCGAGGTGCTGCAGCGCAATGCGCGACGGTCCCTACATTCCGAAATGCCTGTCATGATGCACCTAAACCTAACGTTCGTTCATGGTAAGTGGTAACTTGCATTTTCACAATCCCCATCAGAGGCGACTCGTGTGAGTTTGCTAGAGGCCAACATTATTGAGAGGCCCCTCTGAAATGCTGACCTTGCGTAAATGTGCGTAAACTGCAATGTAGCATGACAACACTGATGGGTTTGTATCCGGTCATTGACCTCACGAAGTGAAACGCGAATTCGCGTCAAATTAGACAGAAAATCATCTCTTAACAATAGTCTTCATGAGTGGAATATTAACACTCTGAAGCTTCTTACTGAAATCACTAGATGATAATTCCAAAATTGTCGATTCTGCATCTTAAAACTGACGAGATAGTATACTATTAAAATTCGATTACGGCCTAAATAAATCGATATGTGCGCAATCCTTCGAAGCTGAACGTGTTTACCAAATCAATCCAGATGGCAGTGGTTGTTACATGCGTCGATCAGTGATGCATGATGCGCAGCAGGTTGCAAAGCTGAGTAATCTGTATTTGTATAAATATAAGCAAATTGCAATCGTGAGT